CTCCATAAATTTTAAAATTCAAGATGAGAAGCAGTTAAAGCAAGACACGGATGTTGTTGTGCAAACTCGTGAAGATGATTTTTATTTCAAGATGTAATGTGTATGTATAATGTAATAAAGTTTGGACTATCGGTTTAGGTCTTTATCAAAATCTTTAGTAATATGCTGTTATTAAAGTCGTCGTGTAACGAGATGGATACATGTTAACACGTGAGCTGTCAATTACTGATTGATCAATTATACATACATCACATTATACATACACATGACATCTTGAAATAAAAATCATCGTTACGAGTTTGCATAACAACATCCGTGTCTTGCTTCAACTGCTTCTCATCTTGAATTTTTATATATATATAGAAAATCTTGGTAAATATACAGAAAAGAAGATCCCCCTCCTTGGCTTCTCGTTCACATATATTATTAAGATTACCTTTCTGAGTAACAATATGAAGGTTTTAGCCGTTGCTCATTGTTTATAAAAAAGTTCAGAACAAAAAAAATTTCATGAATAAACTATCGTTTTTCGACACCGTGTACATTTCAGAAGGAAATGAGTAATGTTTATGTTGCCAACAATGTGTGTATATGTAGCATAGCTTAAAAGTTTCTGTTTTGTTTTGATTTCTTCGTTTGTAATCGCCTTTTCGCTCAAAGTGTACTTTTGATACTAGAATTGCTGTCTTTTTCGACATGAGTGCAATGTATCCACTACATTAAATGTGAGATATATTTATGTAAAAATATATGTGTTACACACAAACATATTTATGGGTTGAATTGGTATACGATTTATTTTCATTTCTTTATTGTAAGCATGTAGGCAGGAGGGAGGCTGCGCCCCCCGCAGGTGTTGAAGCTTCGCCCCTCTTCCCTAAAAAAAAAATAGAAAACGACTTCTGATTACAGCTTCATATCGATAGTATGTACGTGATTTTTAACGACACTTAATCAGAAGTCGTTTTCTATTTTTTTTTCGAGGGAAGAGCAGGAGGAAGGGCCGAAGCCCCTCCACCTGCGGGGGAGCGCAGCCCCCCCTGCCAACATGCTTTCAACACATTAAAAAATGTACATGTTGTCGAGAAAAAAGATTTATTTATGAAACTTTTTTATAAACAATGAGCGACGGCTAAAACTTTTATAAACGTACTCAGGAAAGTCATATTTACAATATATGACCGAGTAACCGATCAGAGGGAGCTCTCTTATTCTGTATATTTACCATAATCTTTATACATAATATATGTAAAATTATGTTTACAATTGAATATTAACTTGACAATAATTATATAAATATTAAAATGACATCTATGTGAAATATTTTAATATTTATATTTTTTACAACAATTAATTGTCTGTATAATATTTAATTTTAAATAATTTTACAATATTTCTATATTATCAAATATATAACTTAGATTATGCATGTACGCAATATTTATCGTTTATTAATACATAATTAAATTTTCCTAAACAGATATAAAAAGCGATTAAGTATTATGGCCAAACTGCATTCTTCTAATAGAATTAAATAAATTTTCACTAATTGATTCGGTGATAATATCACTGATTTGCAGTGAAAAAATACCTCTCTTAAAGTTAGGTGTCAGTAACAGAGTAGTTTTACTAGGAAACAGTTAAAAATTTGCTGATTTACTTAGTAAATAACAAATAGTTTTATTTAGAATCAGTAACAAAATGTCTCACTGAATGCCATTAACATTAGTTTTAAAGTAATTGATTGTGAAAATTTCATTGGCTAAATTGATAGAGTGCCCGCTTGGTAATCAGAGAGTCCTAGGTTCCAGGTTCGAATCCAGTCAAGATAATTTCTAACACAATGGATTTTTTCTACAAGGTAATACTAAGACAACATAGAGAATAACTAAGAAAACTTATTCGAGAACATAAATTATATTAGGAGTATAAATAAGTTTCCGCCGTTTGACAAAAGATGGTCTCAATAGTATGTTATTGTTAAAATTGTCAGCTGTAAAACGTCATATCGTAGGATTGGACATCTGCTAACAACATAACCTTAAAATATTAGCGATTTTGTATCAGCATCATATATCTTTTTTTGTGCGAAAATGTCGAGTTTTGAGCCGAATAAACGTCATTTGCGGGAGCTTTTGATTTACTTCTTTAATTT